AGCGCCGGTAAGAGGAGGAGGGGAACGGCCGGCTGGGACAGGGCAGGGGTCAGTCCTGGGGGCATCACTCCTGCCCTCCTGTTCCTTGTGGCTCTGAGTATCCGCAGGAGCCATCAGAGGGGCAGGAGTGGCACCATGGCGTGCCTGTCCCAAGGGACCTCCTATGCCTGCAGGCAGGTGCCTCTCCCAGGCATGGGAACCCCTTGCAGACGGTGTCTGCAGTCTGCGTGAGATACCTCTCGCGGATGGCAGCCAGGGGTGACCTGGGCTCTCCGTAAGAGCAAGAGTGGATGTGGCAGGGACTGGGGGGGACACGGTTATGGGTGGAAAGCACCACGTCCCTGACTGGGAGCGTCTGGCTGTGGGTGAGGGGTCTGAGTTCCTCCCTGCAGTGATTTGCTGAGATGCCCGTAGGGACTCCTGGGTGTTGGTAGTAAGTTGTCCTGGGAGAAGTAATTCTCCTTGGACAGGGATTCTGTGGTCAGCAAGCAGAGGAGCTGGAGCCGGCTGGACCAGCCCAGCCTGCCAGGGGGAGCAGATGTGGGGGAACTGCTGATGACGATGAGGGATAGGCTCCGTGAGAGCAGCACGGCTTTTGATTCCAGAGCTGCTCAGGTTTTGATGACTTTATGTCACGTTACCACAGAAAACAGTGCTGGAAGGGCCCAGGAGTGCCCAGCTCATGCATTTCCCCTCCCTTGCTCCTGACATTCCCTGGCTGGCACCCAGACGCTTGGTCCCAGCCGTGACCAAACCTGCTGGACCTGCTGAGGTGGCCGGTCTGGGGTAGGAGCCTTGCTCTCCTGCGGGTACCCCAGCCCCCAGCAGCGGTCCTGGTGTCCCTCACCCTCGACAGCTCTTTCTCTTGAAGCTGCCTCAGGTGTCAGCGGCAGCTACTCGGTGTCTGCGTCTCCCGTCTCCACTCCTGCCTCGCACCAGGCAGGGGTCATGGGGCTGGTGTCGTCCTTCCCCCCGCTGAGACTGGCCGGTCCGTCCCAGGGCAGCACGGAGACCCTCACCTCTGACTCGGCTCGTTCCAGCCCCTTCGAGGAGCGGAGGAGGAGGGTGAAGGAGGATGGAAAGGTGAATGCGCCTGCCCTGCCTGTGCCAGGCAGCACGTGGTTGGGGGGCTGGAGCCCAGGAGAAGGCTGGTGGCTCCAGGGCCGGAGGTGGCTGCGCCCAGCTCCCACCAGGAGCTGGAGGTCCAGCTTCTCGGCTTGGTGGGAGACCCAGGGGTGGTGGCACCGTCAAGGGGCCATGCCAAGCCCCCAGGTCAGCGCCCCACAGCCTGGGGTGCCAGCGCTGGGTGGGACTGCAGGGGAGCAGCAGCTTCCCCCGGGGGTAGGGGGGGGTCCTGGCCTCAACCACCCCCCCCACTCTGGGGAGGGCATGAGGGCACGGCTGCACGTGCTACCTCCCCTCCCCTCCTCTTGCCTGGCAGCCTGAACCCCCGTGCCCCATATCCGGCCGCTTCTAGATATTTCTCTGTGAGGTTGCTGTTATCTGAACCGGTTTTTCCCCCCTTTTCACAGTACGCAGGCATTGAACCTGTGGACAAGATCAACACGGAGGTAAAGTCCTTCGCGTACTCAAGGGCTCTGCTTGCGCTGCCCTGACTCCTCGCTCCCCGGTCCTGGGTGCTGATGGGATGGACGCGGGGTTTGTATGCCACAGGGCCACGGGCGCCGCTCGGGTGGGCATCGCGTTGGGCAGAACATGGTGTGGCTGCTGTCAGGCGTATTTAACCCGACGCGGGAGCTTCTGGCTGGGAGGGCAAGTCATGCAAAAAAGATTGTTCATAAAAACATCTTCTCTATAAAAAGATACGGTGTCTTTTGTTTTCTTTAGGTTGTGGAAAGCACCAGAGTGATTCGGCACAAGAGTGCCATGGCCCAGCGCTGGGAGGCAGGGCAGTACGTCAGGGACGATGACTGAGGGGGCTGTCGGGGCCAGGGAGGGATCTGGCCACCAGACTTCGCCGTGTACTTGCCCTGCTTGGGATCAGCTGACGCGCAATCGAAATTCCTGATCAGTTCAGCTCCTGGTTATCATGAGAATCAGAGACTTGTACATTGCAAATCGCATCCATTTTTAATATAACAGATGATCCTTCCAATGCATTTAATGCTCACTCGTTCCCTCCTTCCCTTTGAGGTAATACTTTTTATTTCTTGAGAGGGGAAAAATTGGATCACTTTCTTTTAATCACTTCTGCAAGGAGACAGCCAGATGAAATCATACGGTAATTTAACTTCTTTCTCATGGGAAGCTGTGTCTCTGGCTTACAAAAAAGCTATTTTATTTCTAAGTGGTTTTAGGTTTTTAGGTCCCACAACATCAGGAGGGTACCTAGACTGATGTGTACCTTCGGATCAGTGTCTGCATCAAACTGGGAAATCAACGTTTCTGCTTAACTTCTGTGATCTGCTGAGATGTGGCAATATAATACACATAGATGTAAAAGCGCTGTTTATTTTGCTAACTTATTAAAGAGATATTGCTCTCCCTCATTCTTCCTGGCCTGTTGGTTTTGCAGCAGGAGACCCGCGGTTGGGGACGCGGGGCCGGGGTCGGGACCGGAGGCTTCTGCGGGGCGCAGCCCC